TCATATGAAGAACCACTGTGGTAGTGGATAAGCTCCAAGATAACCTGATTAATCTTGTTTTTAAACTGACTGGGACTTCAGAACTGACTCTTGCCTTTTGGGGGTAATTTCAGATTGATAAGATACTATGTAATAAATACTTTTATTCGGTTAAGGAATTTAGAACATTTTCTAGGAACACTATTAAATTTAAAGTGAGTGTTAAATTCACTGAGTCCTAATCAGCTTTGATTTCATTCTCATTACCTCCTCCTCCATCAAGTTTAGGAGTGGAAATAAGGCAGAAAGGATGTAAGGTCTTAATCACATTGGCCTTGTTCTTGATTGCTACAGAGTCACTTATTACAGTACAAGACATTTTCCTTTGACTAAGACTTTAAAGGACAGAATGATTGCCGTATTTGCTTTCTATCATGAGGTTAGTGTAAAATCAGGATCCATTCTCTTCACTTATCATAAAGTCATATCTATCATTTTCATATGCTCCTCTTTTTTCATTTTTGTTTTTTAAGTTTGGAGGATGGGCATGTTGGAAGGAAGACTAAGGACACAAAATGGTTTGGAAGTTTCATCTGGAGAGCGTTGTCATATAGGATAGCATTTGAGGATATAAAGAAATTTATGGCTAAGTCTCTCATAGCAGAGGGGAAAGAGCTCAGAATAAGTATTTTGACTTTGAGTGGTGACCCACTGCTCTGAACCTAAGCACAGTGAAAGTACATCAACTGAAGTTGGTGCTTAGCTTGCAGGCTTGACAGTGCCTCCCAAGTCATAACATCTGAATTAATTGCAAGGCAGGACAGCAATATATGATGGTGTATTACATAATCTAATATAGTCATGTTAAATGCATAACTTCACAGGCTGGAATACATTTTAAAGAAATTGTTTAAAGAACTTTCTTCACATTCTTTTATGGATGTGTGAATTGATTATGAACAAATATATAATTCTGATCAAACTTCAAACCTTCCTCATTTGGGAACTTGAAAAGGTTTGAAAATATCCCTCTCAGTATTTCAATTAACCTCATAAACTATTTCCAGCTGTCTTAAATGTTTTATAGAACAGGACAGAGGATATGTGAATATAGTATAAAATAAGATAAAACATTTCAGGATGTCCTCTCATCCTGGATTTGGCAGCATCTTTTGTTCTCCCTCTCAAAGCTGCAATTAATATTAAGTTTCCACATGTGCCAAGTGCTTTCCAGTTTATAATTCCCAACAAAACCTGTGCTGGTTGGATGTGATCTCTTAAGAAAAACAGTACTTATCTCTTTAGGATTCTGTTGTAATCAGACTTAACTGTTGGGCTGTTGAATTCTTTGGGGCTTTCTAGAATCACGTGTGCTTAGTGTAGTTTATACTTTCTTATGCCTGAATGGTATAATTTTTGAGCCTGCTATTACCACCTAGAAATCAGAATCAACTGCAGATCTGAGTCTAGCAACTCAATTTTAATAAATGTCATGAATACTGTCCATTAATTTTTATGACCCACTCCTATCTTAGGACTTTTATGTTTATGATTTCCCTTGCCAGGAACACTCTGTTCCTAGATCTCACCTGGCTGGCTCCTTCTGCTGTTGAGGTCTCCATCCAAAGGTCACCTTCTCAGGGACGCCTCCTTAGTTGTTCTTACCTAAAGTAACCCCATCCTATATTATCACTTTACCATGTTTTATTTCCTTCAAATAAAACATGCCACTTTCTGGTAGTATCTGTTCTGTTTTTATTACCATTATCAGTATTATCATTACTAACATCCTAACTATGAAAGTAAATGCAAGTTGAATTTTTTCTGTATGCCTTACACAAATTGTTGTATTTAATACAAAAGTTTAATCATAATGGCTGACATTACTCTCCAAACACTAAGCTAAGCACCTGACCACACCAGTCCAGGTTTGTGTTGTGGACTACTGCAGTGACCTCCTAACTGGTCTCCCTTTTCCCAATATAGTCTCCTTACAGTCTGTTGCCCACATAAGAGCTAGTGTGTTTTCTGAAACATAACTCAGGTTACATCATGATCAGCTTTCAGCATTAGGAATGCTTTTAGCCATTCTCAAGTCCTAACAATGGCCTTCAAGATCCTGTGAAAATTGGCCCCCAAACCACTAAGCCATGTGTCTAAGCTTCCCTCAGAGAGACATCCATCCACATAGCTTCATTGCTGACTCACGCAGGTCTCTGTTGAAATGTTACCTCTTCATAGAGGTTTTTCCTGACCCCCTTATGAAGGCATTCACTCATCACTGCCCAGCATTCCAGTGCTGAATTTCCTTCCTTTAGCAAATATTTTTTGAGTGTTTGCTAGGTACTAGGCCTGTTTTGGGCATTGGGTATACAGAAGTCAAAATGGGCAAAATCCCTGTTGATCTGGAGATATGGGGGAGACATATACCAAACTCAGAATATGTACTGTGCTAGATGACTTCAGGGAAGACTAAAGCAGGACTGAATGCTAGGAAGCAACGGGCCAGGAGAGGGAAAGTAAAGTTGAAAATATAGCAGTCAGGGGAAGTCCCAATGAGACAGTGGACAACCGTGCCAAGTTCTGAAGATGTGAGGGGGCAAGCGTCATGAATAACTAGATGGAAAGAACATCCTGTGTGAAGACTCCAAAGGGGAAGACTGTAGCTACAGGAGGATCCAGGGGAGAGGAGGCGATGTAGCTAGAGAAGTGGCAGGGGCGCCAGGCTGTGGGGCCCCCATGAGTATGCCAGCCTCAGCTGGTGTTTTTGAGAAGAGGAGCAGCCTGAGCTGCCTTACATTTAAACTGGATCCCTCTGGCCCTTGTGTGGAACATAGACTTTAGGAGAGCAAGGGTTGAAATAGACAGTCTTGTTAGCCTGGTAAAGATTGGAGTGGCTAGGACCAGGGTAGTGGGGTGGAGGTGGCAAGCAGTGATTGCAGCCAGATATATTTTGAAGGCAAGTCCTAAAGGTTGTACTAAGAATTTGAGAAATAGGGCAATCAAGGATGCCTCATTCTAGGATTTTAATCCAGGCCACTGGAAAGATGTACATACCAGTACTGAGACTGGGAGGCATGGGGCTGAGGTGGAGAGGCCAGGAGAAAGACCTCAGCTGACTTTGCAGAGACTTTGTGGCTCCTAGAAAAAGGTTCCCCCTCTTGGCTGATGTTGTTGGGGTCTGCAGAATTGACTGGATTTTAACCCTTGTTCCTGGCCCTCAGCATCTTTACCCACAATTGCAGGTAGTGGCATACATCACATCGTTTTGGTTTGGAACATGGTAATTTACATCCAATGAGGTGCTGACTGGGCAACTGGGTATGAGTTTGGAGTTCCAGAGGTCAAAGAGAATTGCAGGTGTAAAGGCTATTCATGGGGAATTCCTGACTATTTTGTCCTTATATTTATTTATATATAAATTGCATTGTGTATTGTATATCCCTTATTCGTCTGTTCGTCATCTCCTCCATCCTAATGTAAGCTAGAAGAGGGCTATGTCCATGTCTGTGTTTCCTAATCAGTTGTATTTCTAGACCTAGCACAGTGCTGGCACCCAGGCAATTCATGAACATGGTTAAGTTAATAAACTAATTAGGAATGCCACTGCTTCGTGCTTGTTCTGTGGCTTCATGAAATTGGGCACGTGTCCAGTTCTATAGGTCAACCTATATGCCAGATGTTCCCATTCCTACTCTATGCCTGAAGCCCAAATAGAGCTTTTTAAAAATCTCCACTACGTATTACCATCTACTATATGACTACGAAAAGGAAATTTAGGTTCAAGGTGACTTTACATTTATCAAGATTGCCTTGCAGCCAAAATACACACTATAATGATGGGAAAACTTAAAATGAAGAAAAATAAACCTGGTTTAGATAACAAGTTCCTTTTATGATGACTTCTGAGCTTTTGGCCTGTTCATGAGGGAGCTGTTAACACTTTCCTTTCACACTTAGTTTTGCTTGTTGGTAAAGGTTCATTTTTAACTTTTTCTTTGCTACATTGAAAGCGAGCATTCTACAGTATTTCTGTCACATGAGATGACATAAAGAGCAACTTTATTCAGTGTTTCTGTTGCAGTTAGACTCAAGACTGGGAAGATAGATGCCTAGGGCCTTAGAATTTTTATCTGGAATGATCAGTAATGGCTTTGCACGAGAGGTGAGGTTTAAACTGAGCTATGTATCAGTTAGCTGTTACTGTATAGTAACACCAGCCCCAAATCCAATGGTTTAAAATAATACGCACTTATTATTTCTCATGGGACTACAGTTCAGCTGCATGATTCTTCTGATCTTGCCTGGGCCCACTGATGTATTGGGTAGGCAGCTCTGCCTATATTGTCTAGACTCTCTCTGTATCTAGAAATCAGCTGGCTATAGGCTGATCTGACTATAGGCTGAGACATCTGAGCTTATATCATGCAATAGGCTAGACTAGGCTTATTCCCATATAAGTGGCAGGATTCCAAGAGCAAGATTGGACATGTTCAAAGCTTCTTGAGGCATCAGCTTTAAACTGGCATAGCACAACTTCTGCCACCTTGTATTACTCAAAGCAAGTGGAGTGGAGACTATTTGATGGAGGAGCTGCAAAGTCACACTGTGAAGAATATGGGCAGAAAGAGGCTATTAATTAGAATCATCATTCTAACACATGGACTTGAAGGATAAATAGAGTTTAGAAGGAGGACATGCGGGAACTGTAAATCTCCTCGAATCTATAGAAAAATGTGTCTCTCCTGATACTGTCCCCATCCTGCCTCCTTAATATCTGGGAAACACATGAAGTATAAGCTTCTCTACTGGCTTGTCAGTTTTAACACTTGAATTGTTCTTTCTCTCTCAGATAAAAGACTCTCATTTAAAGTACATCTTTGATTGTCTTAAGAAGTTTTCATAGACCTACACTAAGTTGCTTTGCAAAATGCCTGGCATATGCCCATTTTTTTTTTTTACACAGTTATCTTGATTATGTTGCTTTTTCCACCAATAATGATTGTATCCTTCCCTTGTAGGATTACACCCATATGTTGACTTGTGTTACTGAAAGAGAAAAGTTTATTGTGCCTATCAAAGCTAGAGGTGCACGAGCCATCCTAGATTTTCCTGACAAGCTGAATTTTTCCACTTGTCCAGTCAAATACAGCACCCAGAAGATTCTGCTGGTACGAAACATTGGCAACAAAAATGCTGTGTTTCACATCAAAACTCATAGGTATGCATTCCTTTAGTTTTTGTTTTTGACTGATTATAGCCTAATGTGGTCAGCAAATGTAATTTTCTAGACTAGCACTGGAAGTGGAATGACTTGTTACAATCTTCAATCACAAGGCTGGGATACCTCACTGACGTAGGATAGACGTCGTCTTCATCCTCAGAGAAAACGAAAATCCAAGGTTTAATATCTTCTATCCATTTTTTACTAAATCCTCTTACCTGTTTGATTTTTTGAAATATTAAAGAACTTATTTTAGTAAAGAGAATGGTACATGGGAATTTATAAATAAACAAATGTGTTTTGACTGATAATTTGTATAACTGGCTTGATTAATTTTCCATTGTTGTTGTTAAAAAAATGGCACAAACTTAGTGGTTTAAAAAAACACAAATTTATTATCTTACATTTCTTTCTTTCTTTTTTGAAAGCAGGGTTTACTGAGAGGACAGAAAAGCTCCCACATTGGGTGGGAACCCAAGAGGTTGCCCTATCTTATATTTCAATAGGTCAGAAGTTTCACCTGGCTAAAATCAAAGTGAGAGCAGGCCTGTGTTCCTTTCTAGAGGCTTGAGGGAAGAATACGTTTCTTTGCCTTTTCCAGCTTCTGGAGGCGGTCTACATTCCTTGGCTCATGGTCTTTAGATTTCTCATCTGAAAAATGAGGATAAGTATACTAGCCACTTCATGAGGTTATTGTGAGGCTAATCAACATAAATGACTTCACATGTCAAGTGTTCTATAATAAGTAATTGCTCTCTTTTTTTCTTCAAATGAGCTAGAATAATGACTCTCCAAATATATTTATGTCCTAATTCTCAGAACCTGTGACTGTGTAATGTTATATGGCAAAGGGGGATTAAGGTTGCAGATGTAATTAAGTTTTCTAATCAGCTAACATTAAAATTGGGAGATAATCCTGGATTCTCTGGATGAGTCCAGTGCAATCAACAAGGGTTTTCAAAAATAGAAGAGGGAAACAGAAGAGGAATTTAGAGTGATGTGGGAAGAACTCAACCTGCTCTTGCTGGCTTTAAAGATGAGAAAACTGAGGGACAAAGAGGTTGTATCAAGTCCTCAAAGGTACAGAGCTAGTAAGTGTTAGTGTTGGATTTTAATCTGAATATTTATGGAGTAGCCACAGTGTAGACACCATGAGGCAATATAAAGGATTATGAGACAATTCCTACTGTCAAGGAACTCTCTTATTAAGTGGGAAAGAATGATTTCTTATGGGACATGAAAACAGTGACTGACCAATGGAGCCTTCACAAGAACAACCAGCTTGGTAAGACAGGAAGCTAGGAGTCAGTTCTTTGCTATGAATTTTTAAAGAAAATATTGTGTATGTTGACCTAGGTTTTAGCCTATTTTTAGAAAGGCTTTATCTGTGGAATCTTTTGCTTGTTTAAGGACATGCCTTTCCAGAAAGAATTAGCAGTTGCTTCTGCCTGCTTCCCAAAGGTTAGGCTACTATAGAATGCACTTTTAGTAATTTCTTGGCTTAGGGGTTCCTGAACTGGTACTGTGTATTCAAATTTGAAGCCTGCAAAAGATACAAGTCCAAAGTTATTTAGTTTTTAGAGAAACTTGTTTCCCTCACTCAAAACCAAAACCGACTTTTTTCTTTTGCCAGTAGGAGAATGTTTTGGTAGTCCTTCAAGTTTTTCAGGTTTATGTGGGGATTTGGTACCAGTCCCCTGACTTGACCATTGCAAGATTTTGTCTTCTGCTCCAGTAAGGCTATTAAAAACCCTGGTTTCCTGGTTATTGGGAACCCAGGGAAGACCTAGCCTTAGCTCAGTGGCTTGCTGCTCTGGTTGTTAGTTTCCTTTTTTGTTTTGAAACCCTATGAGTATTTTTCTTATTTTTGTGCATTCTCAGCTACACATTTATGTAAGCTATATTTTATCTGGTCTAGTTGTTTTATGTTGGAAGAATTTTCAAGTTCCTCAGTGTGCCATATTGTAGGTAGCAGGGCTACCATATTGCAGGTTGATGGCACATTACTTGAAAGGGAATTTGCATTTATTTTTCCAAGTGTCCCAGGAAAATCACTGTCTATGAACTATTTCAGGTAGATCTACATTTCTGCTCAGTATCATATTTTTCTTGACTGAAAAACTACCTTTAATATTTCTTGTAGCACAAATCTACTGTAAATTGTCCCAGTTTTTGTCTATCTGGAAAAAGTCTTTATCTTTAATTTTTTAAATATATTTATCCACAGTGTAGAATTCTTGGCAAAAAAAATTACATATACACATATTTTTCCCCCAGTACTTTAAAGATGTTACTCAATTGTTCCTTGACTTACATTTTTCTAATGAGAAGTCTGCTGTAATTCTTATTTTTGTTCCTCTGTATGTAATTATCTCCTTTTGGGAGGCTGTTTTCACAATTTTGTCTTTATATTTGATTTTTAGCAGTTTGAATATGATGTGTCTAGGTATAGGCTTTGTTTTAGTCATAAGGATTTTGTTTTGTTGTTGTTTGGTTTTCAGATAGTTTTAATCATGGTTGAGGTTCTCTGAGCTTCCTGGATATTTCTTTGTTTCTGGAAAATCTAATCTATTATCTCCTTAAATATTTTTTATGCTTTATCCTCTTTCACTTTTTCTTCTACTTGGAGGGAAGTTCTGCCTGCCATAGGTGAAATAGGATACACATGTCTCATCTCCCTTGGGGCAAGGGATTATCTATCTTTAGATTCTAAGTTGTTTGCCCTGCAACTTCATCTCTCTGGTAGGCTCAAGGAAAGTTGTAATTGTGTTATTTATCTGAACTTTTTCATTGTTAGAGTGAAAGAAACATTCATTCCAGCTTTCTGCATTCTAGGTAAAAGCAAAACTCTGAACCACTTTAAATAAATCAACCATCAAAAGGGAAGGAAAAGTTATTTGGGAAACCAGTGTCTCCTGGTATTATTCATAAGGGCTTGCACAGCCTTTGTTTGTCATCTTGAGATGTGCCTTACATATTTTGATTGAGGAAGAAGGAAGCAGGTTGTTCAATTATCTCACCATGACTTACAAAGAACCCGTCTTTTTCAGTTAAAAAAGTAGCCTCCCACGGCCACCATCCATTATACTTCCTGTTACATTGGTATTTTTTATATTAAAAAAGAATCTACCTAAGGTGAAAAAATACGTGCAAGCAACATATCTGCCTGCACTTTTGGGTGAATTTTTAAAACTATACAAAAGTGGCAATTTCTCACATAGCTGATTCATGTAAATGTGAAGCAAAATCACTTCACCTCACAGATTTAACAGTGTAAAGTTGCAGAAAGGGATCTAGAACATATTTATCTATATAACTATGAGCATGAATCATCATGTTTTCCTAATATAGAAACAATTCTAAGGTAAAATGGGGGAGCCAACTCAAGGACTATCCAGGAATCATAAAGACATTGACTCTTTGGTCCAACACTCACATTTTACAGGTGAGGAAAGTAAAGTCTGAGAAGGGGAATAACTTACTCAAATTACCCCAGTAAGTTAATATTAAAACCTGTATTAGAATACAGGCCAGGTCTGAACTTTTTTTGCCTTCAGATCCCACTGTGCCCAGTGTCACTGTGGGGCTCTGTTAGCCTCCCTAGCCTCCTGGGTCAGCTGGATTCCAGATAGGTTTGACCAGTAGGGGTACAATAGAAGGTGACTGGCATGTAGGAAGAAGGAAGAAGCTAGGGTATTTCTCCTCCTCCCTATTCTTCCCTCCTCTCTCCCCAGCAGTGGCTACATCTCCTCTGTGGCTCTAGCTGCTGTCAAACTGGTCTGCCATGGTCCTAACTTCTGTCAGGAGACCATGGTCCCTGGGATCTAATAACACTTCCTCTTTTCCTTCTGCCTCAGTCCAGGGGTGAAAATGACTCATCTATTTCTAATTTCTGAGCTATCTCACCATCTTAAGTTGGATTTCTCATCTCTCTCATCTTCTGTGTGACCAAGTCTCTCCATTAAATTCCCTGTTTACAAATATCTTTTTCTGTGCAGACTCTTCATGAAATAGGAGTATTATGTTCTTTCCACAAAAGCATGTTCTCCAGCCAGGTTTCTGATTTTGTGAGCTTCCTCAAATCCTTTCAATCAATCCCTTTTCTGTTTAAATTAGCCACAGTTGGCCTTTGTTGTTTGCAACTGAGAATGCTGATGGTTGCAATGAGAAAGGATGTGACTGAGTCTGTGGTCAAATCATATTGAATCAGAATCTCTGGGGACATCCCCTGACAAGTATCCATTCTAAAAGCTACACAGATGATTATTTTGCCCAGATAGAGTTCTTCAGTTAACATGATTATTAATTGACATTGTAGAGCCATGGTGGTAGTTTGAGAATTTGAGTCAAAAGCTCAGGTCTAATTTTCGGTTCTGCCACTTTTATTGCCAATATGCAGTTAGAAACAATATCTCACAGGAAATTGTTTTAAAAATAGACCATCTTTCTCTCATTGAAATAATGATTTATTAGTAGTTAGGTTCATAAAATGGTTAGGCTCATATAAATTATAAAAACTAATGCTTTCTTTACATATCTGTTACCCCCATAAGAATGTGAGCTTCTCAAATCCAAGGATTATATCTAGCTCTTTTCATTTGTATGTCCCCAGCATCTAACAAAGTGTCTAGGATAAATAAGCACCAATAAATGTTTATAGGATGCCTAACCAACAATATATCACAAAAGCAAAGCTACAACTATAAACCTCTACAATAAAATAAAATAAAAAACATGCTCCAAGTACTATAAAATAAGTATAATCGTTTTTACACTAATAAAAGGAGCTGCAATGTGCTATAAAATATACAAAGAACATAAACAATTATTGTTCAAGTTTAGTGCAAATTTGACCTAAAACTCTAGTAGGTATCAGAGTAACTTTGACTATTAAAGTAGGATTAATATTGGAAGGTGAAATATAGAGGTAATTAAGAAGCAATTATAAAATCTCAAGTTAGGAATTAAATAAGAAAGATTGTCTAAAGCATAAATACTAATATATTCAATGTTTAATATTATAGGGCCATTATTTAATTTTCTGCTAAAATATTGAATTATTTAAGTGGAATAGTTTTAGTTCTTAAATACAGCTCATAATTAATTGAACTAAAACTCAGATTTTTCTTGTGGCTCATGATATGTCACAAAGCCAAATTCTCTCCATAATCAAGTAGTCGATATTAATGAGAATGTAATATCAAAACCAAATACTTTGAAGGACTGAACCAGCCATATGCTCTTAGGGAACAATACCTTTTACTTTTTTAAAAGAGCATTTTCTGATACTTGATATTTTCTAGTCTGTTCAGCCTCTCTGCATTTATAGTGAAATTAAGTACAAAATCAAATTATAGACAATGGACAAGCATCAGAACTTAACACAGTCTTCCCAATCAACATATGATTTATTGAAAAACTTAGGCAGCTCTAAGTAGTGATGGCAATCCCAGGTGATTACCAACTGGAAAAGTTTAGTGTAATCTAAACCCAACAATTAGCACAGAAGGAAAGTATCCATTAACACTCTACAGAATTTGGATTCCTGGAGGTCATAGAGGTGGGATACTAATGTCACCTTCTTTGTAGAAAATTAACTGAGGTTCTGCAATGTGTAATATCTAATTCATTTTAAAACTCTTCCTTTGCTACTAAGAAATGTTTGAAAAACAAATAAAAGCACAGTTCAGGAAGAAAAATATTCAGAAGTATGGGGGCAGAGATAGAGGGAGATACTGCAAAGTTGTTCCCAAAGCCAGGAAACTGGGCCCAGTTTGCAATTCTTCAGATTCTTATTGAGGCCATAAGAAAGGAAAGAATTTTGAGACTGGGAGACTCACTTTCATCTCCCATGAAGCAGATATTCTTAAGCTACTGAAGGTCTGCTCCTTTTCTGTTTCACCAAGATGTCAAAAAGATTCATGACCGATTGCAGATATTTTTATTTCCCTTTAAGAACTTACTGTAATTCAGTGTACCCGTCTCTTCTGAGAGGCAGTGAGTAAAGAACTGTGTATGGGATGGTGGAAGACACAAATATGGATCTCACCATGTGGCTTCCATGTTCAGGGTTGGTTTGGGCTGGGTAGAGAGAACAGGGACTTCCCTCTCCACTCCACCACCACCTATGCTACCTAGGTGGACGACTTTGGACAAGTTGTCTGCCCTTTTAGAGCATCTGTTTTCTCATGTCTAAAATGCAAATAACAGTATGTTCTTTTTCAGGGGTTGAGGATTAAAAGAATTGATATGTGTAAAGTGCCCAGTGTAGTATCCAGCATAGAATATGTGCTCATGACATTTTTTTTCCTTTTCCTCTCTTCTCGAGTTTCTAACTATTGAGAGAGACAGGCATGAAAATGAACTCCAGTACAAAGTAAACCACAGTAAGAACTAAAATGAAAGTTATAGCCTCTGAGAGAAAGGAGATATTATTTATATAAGGGAGAATCAGGGAAGATCCTATTTAAAGGTTGACTTTGAGTCTGGGCTGTGATAGGTGACTACAGGCGTATGGTATGTGAAAAATGGTGAATATTTTGATGTGATCCTAGCAGTTCTGGATTGTCTATGTGGGAGGGGGGCATGATCTGGTGGGAAGGGAGAGCAGGTATAGTGCTCGGGAAGACTGCAAGTGAAGAGACTAAAGCCCACCCCCCCACACACACCCTACCCTAGCACTGACTCAGAGTGTGACAGGAGTATAGGATTTTTGGACAGATGTGTGTATGTAATGAGAATGCAAAAACCTGTTGGGAACAGATTGTGTGGATCCTCAAATACCTAGGAGTTTGAACTTGATTACACAGGTGATGAGGACCACTGGAGGTGTTTGAACAAGAGATTGATGTGTTAGAACCTGTGTGTGTTTTTTACACTCTCTCTAGAGCAGTGTGAAGGATTGAGGGGAGAATGGTAAAAGCTTAAACTCATCTAAACACCCAAACTCATTTTCAGGTTCATCTAGCATCCAGGGGCTGCCAGTGAGGGAGATAAAAATAGCAATAACAAGAACAATAGTAAACATTTACATAGCACTTCCTGTATGCTAGTCATTATTCTAAGCATTTTACCTATATCAACCCCCTTTGTCCTCACTAGAACACTTTGAAGTAGGTGCTGTCATTACCCTCCTTTTACAGATGAAGAAGTGAAGGTTATGTGACTTTTCCAAGGGTATGGCAGTGCTGAGTTTTGAACCCATTCAGTTGACCAGGCTAGTAACCACTGCCCCAGAATGCCTCTGTAGTAATACATGGGGTTCACTGAAGGCTTGGTTTCATAGGTATGGGGATAGAGAAAGAAAGTGCGAAAACCAAGAAGTAAAAGGAGAGATCAAGTAGAAAGCACCAGACAAAATAAACATTTCCAGTGGCAGGAAGCACCTGAAGTCCTGCAGTAATAATCTCAGGCACTACCCAGTGCTTACCTTGCCATAAACTCTGTACCCCCATAACAGAAAGCTTAAGTTTTCTGAAATTGAGTTCATCATCTAAGGGAAGATTTAAGGAATGACGACTCTGGGATAGAAGTAAATAATCAAAAATAGCTCAGTCTGCCAGATACATTGCACAACACATTACTTTGAAAAACTAGCAATTTAAAGAAGTGAAATGGACCGTGAAAATAATTAAATGGGCTGGGTTTCCTATTTAGAAAGAACTCTATAAGTTATTTAAGGTATTTCACGATCAGATCCTGCTTCTCTCTTACTATTCCCTTCCAAGACAATTAAATTAAACCAGTTCCTGTTCCCAAATCAGCCCTCACTCCTCGCAATGTCTACATCCCCAAATTCTATTTTCAAGATACAGAACTTGTCCCCAGTTTGCCCCTCCAAATGCATTCTCTGCCCTTTCAGCTTGTTCTAGTCCCAGAGACTGACTTCTGTGGCCTGGCCCAACAGAGTCCCCCATCCCCCACCTTGTGGCATCTGGTTGGGTTCATCCAGTGAGAGTCTAGCAGGCAATCAGACAGAAGGAGATATGAGGTCAGAATACTTCTTCCCTACTGTCTTCCTGAGGCCATCTGGGTTGGTGTCTCCCTTAGCTGATGCTCCTTGCTCCTCATAAGGCAGTCTTCCGTTAAGACTCTCCTTGTGTGTTTCAAAACCACTGCTACCCATGGCTCTTTGGGCCTAGAGGTGGTGGCAGCTCTACTGTTACTATACAGGCTATTGTATTATCTCTTGTAGTTCCCCTACACCCCTCCCACCCCATTTGACTAGACTCTGTTAATCTTTCCTGGAATTATCCTAATGTGAGTGGGATTCATATATTTTTGACTATGATGCTGTCTCTCCTCTGAACCCTCACAAAACTTGATTTTTATCCCTTTGAAGGAACTGTTCTTTTGCAAATGACAATATTTGCATATGTAAATTAAGTCTGTCTGTTACTGCTATCTCAATGTTTGAGACAAGGACTGGATTTTATTCATTTGCAGTCACCCTAACCTGAATGCAGGAGCCCAGTGAGGACACTCAATGAATGTTTGATGGCTCAGCCTGTAATCCCGCGCCTTTGGGAGGCTGAGTGGATTGCCTGAGCCCACGGGTTCGAGACCCGCCTGGGCAACTTGGTGAGACCTCATCTCTACAATAAATCAAAAACTAACCGGGTGTGGTAGCGCGTGCTCGTAGTTCCAGCTACTTGGAAGGCTGAGGCGGAAGGATCGCCGGAGCCCAGCAGGTCGAGGTTGCGGTGGCCGGGAGCAGCCACTGCACTCCAGTCTGGGCAACAGAGTGAGACCCAACTCAAAAAAAAAAAAAAAAAAAAGGAAGAGGTAAATGACAAGAACATAAACAAGTCTATTGTTGCATCATTTAAGTTTCCCTCATACTTGCTGATCTTTACAGTTATTTTGACATTAAAACTAAAATTCTTTCATATTAGGAATGAAAGTATACTTTGCTTCTGGACCATGAAATTGCAGTGTTGGATCTGAGCTGTCTATAGAACTAAAACTCATGTCTCCTCTCCTGCCCACTCACACTAGTCAGAAATGTGTTCTGATGGTGTATCTCGTGTGTATTGCAGGCCTTTCTCTGTAGCACCAACTACTGGAACTCTTAATGTGGGAGAGTCCATGCAACTGGAAGTGGAGTTTGAGCCACAGAGTGTGGGCAATCACAGTGAAAGACTTATTGTGGATTATGACACAGGTATGCATTATTCATTGTTAAAAATTCTGCATATTAGGAAAGATCAGATGGGAAATATGATAAAGCTAATTAGGAAATGGTTATTTTGGATGCATTAGAATGAACTAAGATCCACAAGATAAAGAACCAAATAATGAATGCTTCCAATAGAAATGATGTTGAGACAGATATAAATCCCACCTAACTGGTGTCCCTAGTGCTTGAAAGCCTTGGGAATACAGGGCTCAAGAAGGACCCCAAACCCAGAAGTCACACTGATAGATTGAGATTATTTGTGTATAAATAGAACTTTGAAGGTAACTTAATACCCTATAGGTTTTCCATTTGATTTATTGCTACGTTTGTCTAACATTTTAAAAATGTAAACCCTAGTTCAGAATGTTTTTTATGTACCCACTAGTCTATGTAAGATCCAGTTACTTTCATCCTCAGAGCATGCATATATCTTACTTAACATCTTACAGGAATATAGACTAGGTCTGTTGCCACTAGCATTTTCTTGAGGGCTGCACTCTGTGTAATCATGAAAATTAAACATCGTTTTTGCAGTTTAATTTATGGTCATGTAGACTGGATGTACACTATGCACACTCCAAAGTTGGTTTTCAAATTAATTTTTTAACATTGCCATTTATTATTTCATGATTTTTCTCACTTCCTTCTTGCTTCTGTTTTACCCATTCATGTTGCTTGACCCAGATTATCTGCAGAAGGGCATTGTAGGGAGAAAACAGAAGTACACAGCCAGGGAAGGAGTAACAAATGACATCTAGGTTACAGTTCAGAGTTGCTAGCTTTATGAAGGTATATCTGAGCAGGATAATTCAAGCACTTGCCTTAGGACCCATGGTTGAGTGTCTCTGGCCCCATGTTGCCCAGCATAACAACACCACCAAGCTAGTGGCATAGTCCTTATGGTTAATCTATTGGTGTTAGCCATAATTCACTGACTGCTAGCAAGAGGAACTAACTTAGGCAAAAGGGAAAATTTTGACCTGTGTAATCAAATGGCAGAAGGTAGTTAAAAGCATAGCTCATAACACATCAGAATATCAGTTTTCCAAGGTAGTTGTGTCATTTTAAACTCCAGCCAACAAAGTGTGAGGGTTCCAGTTGCTTCACATCTTCACCAACATACAGTGGGTTTTTTGGTTAATTTTAGACATACTAGTGGTATAGAGCGATGTCTAACAGTGGTTTTAATTTTCATTTCCCTAAAGATTAATGCTGTTGAGCACCTTTACATGTGCTTACCAGCCATTTAAATATCTTTTTCTAAGTGTGTGTTCGGGACTTTTACTTGTTTCTTTCTTTCTCTTTTTTTTTTTTCTTTTTTTTTATTAATCAATATTTTTTATTATGGTGTTGTGGGGTACAGTTAAGGGTTAGGTATACAAGTACGTTTCATTCAGGCACCCTGTTGATAAGTGGTGTTTCCCTGTCCCCAGACAGATATTTGCTGCCATTGATCTCATCTCCCTCTACCCCGCCATAGTTTCCCATTACTGTCAGTCATTTTCTTATAGTATTACATTGGATGTTCAAGATCCATTATATCAGTGAGAACATGTAATACTCAGATCTTTGTTTCTGTGAGAGGTCACTCAGTATTATAGACTCTAGTTCCATCCAGGTTGCTGTAAAATTCATGATTTTGTTCCTTTTTATGGCTGTATAGTATTCCATCGTGTATATGTACCACATTTTTTTAATCCAGTCCTCTTTTGATGGACAGCATGGTTGGTTCCAGGTTCTTGCTATTGTGAACAATGTTGTGATAAACATACGTGTGAAAGTATCTTTTTATAGAGTGATTTGAGTTCTTCAGGATATATTCCCAGTAGGGGGATTGCGGGGTCATATGGGAGGTTGATATTTAGAGCTTTTAGGAATCGCCACACTGCTTTCCACAGAGGTTGCACTAGTTTACACTCCCACCAACAGTGTAGAAGTGTTCCCTTTTCGCCACACCCTCTCCAGCAGCTGTTATTTTTTTGAGTTGTTGATAATTGCCACTCTGACTGGAGTTAGGTGGTATCTCAGTGTGGTTTTGATTTACATCTCCCTGATGATTAGTGAGGTTGAACATTTCTTCATGTCTGTTGGCTGCTCGGATGTCTTCCTTTGTGAAGTGTCTGTTCATATCTTTTGCCCATTTTATAATGGGGTTGTTTGTTTTTTTCTTTTCAGCATGTTTGAGTTCCTTGTAGATCCAAGATGTTAAGCCTTTGTCAGACCTGGTGTTGGAAAATACTTTTTCCAAGTCTGAAGGCTGTCTCCCTGCTCTCTTAATGGTTTCTTTGGCTTTGCAGAAGCTTGTCAGTTTAATAAGGTCCCACTTATCTATCTTCTCTCTTATGACCTGTGGGTTTCGGGTTTTGTTCAGAAATTGGATGCCAGTTCCGATTTCCATGAGGGTATGTCCTTCATTTTCTAAGGTTCCTATGGTTTGAGGTTTTACATTTAGGTCTCTGATCCATTTGGAGTTAACCTTTGTGCATGGGGATAGATAGGGGTCCTGTTTCAATCTTCTGCATGTGGTCAGCCAGTTTTCCCAGCACCATTTACTGAATAGGTTCTCCTCTCCCCAGTGGTAGGTGGTGGAGGCTTTTTCGAAGATGAGTTGGTTGAGAAATTGAGGTTTTGCTTTTGGAATCTAATTCTATTCCATTGATCTATGTGCCTGTTCCTATACCAATACCAAGCTATTTTGATGATTGTAGCTTTATAGTAAAGTTTGAAGTCTGGTAATGTGATACCACCTGCTTTGTTTTTTTTGCTGAGGATTGTTCTGGGATTCTTGGATGTTTGTG